ATGTGCCTCAGCATTCTTTCCAGGAGAATCAACCCATGATCCCATTACGTTCCATCCCGTCACCTCTCTCCCTCTGCTTCTCTGGAATTTTCATTCCCAGCTTTGTTAGAACCAGGAAGCCTGAGGAAGAGTTTCTGCACATGGCCTACTCCTCCTGGCATCCTCAGGCTGCTTTCCATAATGCTGAAACAGCAAGAGTCAGCCCTGTCTACAAGAGGATTAAGACATATTATACAAAGTCATTCGGAAAAAAAAAAGGGAAAAAAAAGTTAAAAGATGCTAAATTTGTTTGGTTTGTTTTTAAAAGCCCAAGTGGTTCCTTGTCTCTATGAAGGCTTCATATGAGGATTGAACAAGCAAACTCAAGGGAGACGGCTATGTTTCAAACAATTACTTTGGACAAAATAAAGCAGCACTAGTACATTGCCCATACTATAAACTATGTTTTTTCAAATGGAACAATCCTTCAATACTGACACTGTCACCTTGGATAAATGATGCTACCCTAACTGAGTAATCAACTGAAACAAATAAAAACAGAGCCTATCACACCAGCAGTTTTTAAATCAGAAATTCCCACTGATCTCAATGGGTCATTCTGCTGAAAACATAATGGGACCAAATATGGGCCAAGGGAAGTACTTAATAACTTTCTCATTTTTCTAATATAGGCAAGGAATCACAGAACAGTTAATTTAAATCCAAGAGAGAAATAGCATACAATTTACAGCTTGATTTCATTATTGATCAGTCAGTAAATGGAATTTATTTATACCCTATTTGATGCAGTTCATAAGAATCCAAGAAAGAAGATTCTCCCCAGTTTACTGCAGCAGTCAACTGAAAGTATTCCTCTTGATTTCAGATGCTCCATATTGGACACAGCACAGTAATACCACAGTGTCAGACTCTCTGAGAGATGTCTTATGGACCACTACAATATTTCACAGGCTTCCTGAGTTTGTATCTGGCTGTTGCAAACACAGCATTTGGATCCTGAAACTTTTAAGTAACTCCCACTCATGAGGTGGAAGGGATAAGCTTATTTTTCCAAATTGCAGAATGTCTCTCTCTAGTAGGAGAAACCATCCAGAATGGCATGCTGCATGGCACAGGGCTACATCTCCTACTGCCACTAATGGCACCTAGCAAAAGAATTTGGGAAACCCCCCCCATTCCTATTTTTTGTGATAATGTAGATTGTTACCAAGTGCTACTCCTTTTTAATATACCTACCCTATCCAAAACCAGCTCGTGTAACATGTTATGTTTTTAAAACTGTCCTTTAGTATGCTTTCTGGCAACTCCTCATTTGGCTAGATTCCAAATGTGTCTCTCCTCTTCCCTCTCCATATAAAGGGTGTAATTTATTCAAGAACAGACACCAAGTGCGATAATGACTTTGCAAATGGATACTGAAATCTTCATGCAGTTTTTCCCCTCCTAAAAACCCAGACACATAGGAATTATAGGGAGCCTGAGTAACTTTGCGGGGGGCAAAAACTTCACACAGTGCATGTTCTGGGTCTGCTGTTTTTGGTGTGCTTGCACTTTAGACAGGTCCTACATATCCAATGAAACATCTTACACAATGACATGAATCAAACAGAATCTGTGGAAGCTGCATGTACTCTGCAATCTTTTGCCTGATTTTGGAGCCCAGCATGGTCATTAACAAGATTAAATTCTTTGTTCTTTCAGTCCTCACTCCCTCATTTTTATCTTTAGAGCAAGCATTTTCATGACACAGGGGCAACATTCCCTCTGGTTAGTCTGGGTCTTTAGTCAAAGTCAGTCTAGCTAGCTCACATCTACATTCAATAGACAAATGCAGTAGAGTCATAAACTTTGTCTTACTAATATTTAAACAGTTTCAGAGCAGATAAAGTGAAGTCAAGCTACAAGGCTTTCAAAGGTATTTTGAGTTTAAAACAGGATTTCAACTACGTAGGCACAGATTCTTCTCAGCTACAGTTCTATTGCATGCGGCATACATTACAAGGCTTAAGAGATGATGTTGCTTACTTGTAATATCAACCTCAGCATTTGCAAGTGGAGGCAGGTTAGGTGAGGAAAAGGCATTGAAACTCGCAGCATCCACCTTAGTCACCCTATTTCCCCTGTACAGTTTATTATAAAAATACAGGCACACCTGCAAGACAAGTAAAGAAACAGGTCTATGAATAAGCCAGTAATTAAAAGATTCAGTAGATAAATACTGAAGTTCATCCTTTATAAAGTGTTTTCTAAATCTTTAAAGCAACTCAGAGGCTTGTAGATGTTTACAACTCTTACCCTTTCAAAAAGAGTTGGCACATCTGTCACACATTGGTTTAAGAATTTAAGAACAAAACAAGTTAAGAGCTAACTAGTTTCGTAACCGTCTCATGAGGCATAGTCTAGGAGACAGCAAATGTGCCTGAGTCCACTTCAGAGACAGAAGAAAGAAGCAGTGTGGACTTTTAAAGAAGTTCATCAGTTATATCTAAATTCAGAGTGCAAAACCTTAACAAAGGCCTGGTGAAAAAAAGGATAACTTTCAAAAGAGTTACCACACATAAACAGATTCCTTCTCAAGACTCTTTAAGTCTGTCAATTGAAATTTGCAGGAAAAGAGATACCTCAAAGTTACTAATTATGAAGATCTTGGACAGTCAGCTATTGCTATTGTCTTACAAGAACTGGCTTTGAGAGTGTGGCAAAAACGAAATGAGGTGTAGCCTGACTAGTTTTCTGATTCTGGACTGTGCAGTACCAGCATCTTTAAAGGCAGAGTGCTGAGACCATGAAGGTACTTCCATGTACAGTAGGTATATCATCCTCGACACTTCAGAAACTAGAGCTAAAAGACATTCCTACCAGTTCTAGAGCAACTTTAGAACTTCAGAGTAACTTTCAGTCTAAAACATGACTTACAAGTGTTTCAGATCCTACATATTTGCAAGGAAACCTCTGATTTCAAGTCTGCTGCAAGCTGCATTTCAGACTTGACAGTCTTGTCTTCACAGAGCGTATATGGGCAAAATGGGATGTAACTCCTGAGAAAATGGCATGTGCTTTGCCATGGAAATGCCTGTAACCTCAGCAGAACCCATTTATCTTCCTGTTTAAGTGCAATTCCTTACTGCCTACCAGATATTTTGAGTATTTAAGTATGTATCCTGCTAAAGGGAGAAAACCAGCTTCTGAGACCGTCTTCACAGGCAAACAAACCTCAGGAATCACAAACTGCCCAGCAAACAGCAATGCCCCCAGAAGGTTGGCTCGGCCGTCATTCTGCAACTCGTATATGGGCACCTGAAGAGCAGAGACTGAAATTACACCCTGTCCCTTATGTAAAGCCTACACAGCAGAAAAAAAGAGTCCAACTTATGCAATACAAATACATGAATAATTTATGTATCAATGATTTATGACAAAGTTTCCTTCTTAATCCAAAGTATTTTAGACTGCAGCAGATGGTAGGATTTCCCTGTGCTTAACAGACTTCTATAATTTAAGTGCTTAAAAGCTAATATAGAGATGATTCTAGTGTGATTAAGCAGATTAAAAGACTGATTCAGAGAAAATATAAAAAATAGAAAGCAGGCATAGTTAATGTGACTGAGCATGGGAGAAATGATTGTATTGAGAAAAAGCAACAGTCCCAGATCATACAGAACTGCCACTACAGGCTTCACAACAGCTCTCTTGCACCATCTTTCCACATAGTATTGAAAAACTGAGCCAGCAGGTTGTTACTGACAGAAGAGGACAAGATTAAAAACAGAAATTTATTCTGCTGAGTGACGACTTCCACGTCTTTTCGGATTGTCTCTTTATTAACAGGAGCCAGAGCTCCTTTCAGCAATGAAAAAAAAAATCACATGCTCCATTGCAAGATCATATGTCAGGCAGATCTACAAACAGTAAACCCAAAAAGAAAGTAAAACCTTGAATATAATGTGTCACAACTAGACTGCCCCACGCCAAGACAGTAAGTGGGAGCCTACTCCTTCCTAGACTTTTGTATTTTGACTTCAAATAGACCACATGTGAAAGGGAAGTTATGAGATGGGGAGGGCAATTTTACAGTGCGATGTTTCATCTCTCCTTTATGATTAGAGCTGTATTTTACACTCAAGCAAGCTATTCTAGTAAGACAACCCCTCCCCCTCAGACAATATGCAAAAGGCTGATCTCCAGCTACGAGTATGAAAATTAAGAAATATGGTCTTCAGAGGAAAGGAAACAGACCATGTTTGATGGAACAGAAATGATCGAAAATGTATCTAATGCTTAGGGATTATTAAAAAAATCATAAAGAATGCAAGATAAAAACTGCTGAAGTAAGAAATAATCAGCTTCAGGGTTTTAAAAGAAAAGAAAGACAGCTAACAACCAGCAGCCACCTGAGGCTGGAAAGATTCTTCTCATAAACCGATTAATACACAATGGCCAATGACAGCCTCTTATATCTTTCTCTGAAGCATCTGGCTCCAGCCATAATGAACTACTGGTCTGATTTGGTACCGAGTTGTAAAGTCATTAACGATAAAATTATGGGGCAGATCCTCAGCTGGTGAGCCTGTCAATTCTCAGTAATTTCTATCAGCACTGTGACCATTCACCCTGGCCAGAGGCCTGCCCTGCACTACTAAACTGTACAGTGATAATCAGGATACTACCTAGTTTTGCATATAAAAATCAAAAACAAGGCTTCTGACTTCACCTTCAAATTATGTCCATTACCTGAGATCCTGTCAGAACAATAGTTTTACCCAGATTCTCACACATGAAGGATAAGGCTGAAGCTGTATATGCCATCGTATCAGTGCCATGAAGGATCACAAAACCATCATACTTTTCATAGTGTTCCTGGAGATTGAGAGACAGTTTTCACATTGTTAGAGCAGTGCTTTGGCATCAGCAAGTGAAGTACATACTGCATTACTTCCACGGATATGAGCAACAGCATAATACTTTAAAGGGTACTACACACATAATTCCTCCTAAAGTTATCTTGTTTTCAGTTTAAATGCAATTAAGGGTTAATAGGACACTAAGCACTAGAGCCAGCAATTCTAATTATGGAACAGTCAAAGGGTTTCTTCTATGTATACATATTAATGCAGCATTTTTAAACCAGAAGACTGCTAATTAAGGAAAGCTTAGCAATGGCTTTAAACACGAATGTTAACATATGCAAATTAGTCGTATAGTCTGATTCCTTGTTGCTGCTTTTACTTTAGGGATTACACCATTTACAGGAACAGATTAGGCAAACCAAGGCTATCATAGAAATATAGAAAACCCAGTCCATTTAATCCGGGTGGCAGACAGGCAAACTGCCAGTGTAAGAGTGCCCTCTTCTGTTAAAAAGTCATCCTTTCTGCAGCAGTACGTGACCAGCAATAAGGGATGAAGAGGCTTTTGTTGTTCGTTAATGTACATAAACTTGCTGGGTTTTGGGAAGTCCCTTAGACTATCAGGCAAGTGCAGATGCAAAAAGGAATTTTATAACAACTTTGATCTACATACAGTTGCACACAGGAGGTTTTTTTTAATGCAAAGCCATAAATCACACAGCTCATCCTGTTAGAATAAAGTCATCTGCTGGCTTGTGAAAGAAAAAATAATTGGTTCCTCAATTTTAAGAGTGATGCACGTGGTAAGCACTGTAGTGAGAGACACTGACATCTCTGATGTAATTTAGTAACACGGAAAGGATTACATAGAAGTCTAAGCAGATCCATGAAGTGCCAGTGTGGGGCAAAAATGGGTGTGCCATAGAATTAAACATTATTTCTTTTTAATTACACTTCTTATGCTATAGTAGGCACACAGGCATCTCCTGAATCTCAGGCATCTCCTGATAATAAGGTCACCTCCAAACTCACCTGCAGATTTCTACTTGTCCTTTTGCTATTTCTTCACTATTACTCATGCCCACATGTTGTTACCTACTGGAAGTTTCAGGGGATTTCTGCTTATCTCTGACAAGTTAGCCAGCTGAACAACAGCCAGTGTTGCAAGATCTTTCCTTAGTGCGAAGTATAGCATGATGCAAAAAGCATGCTATACTTATCCAACAATACAGTAACAAGTAAGTAAGTTTCAAGAAGGCCTAAGATCACAGAAATAGCAACTTGTCCTCTTTAACTCGATCAGTATGCTCACGAATATTTTCAGCCTTATGAACTTTGTTAGATGTGAAAGAACATAGCCTGGTTTAAGCTTCATAATGTAAAAGATCAGGCTGGCAATTAAGGAGATATCCCACAGAAACACCTTAGGATGTCACAGCTGAACAGTCATCAGCACAAAGCACAAAGCTCTGCTAAGTATGTGTCCAAGATGAATGTGAAGTAGAAGTGTCTATACATGAGGTGGACAGTTGAAGAAGTTTGGGGTTTTTTTCTTTTCTCAGCACGTTTCATTTGGATTACACAAACTGGATATTTCTATTTACAGAAGCTGCATTCCATGTACAAGAAAGAAACACTTTCTCTGTAATAAAACTAATATGCCATTAAACAATAAAGGTAAATTCTCTCCTGTTCAGCATGGGATTGCCACCTCCCACTCTTGGCCCTGGGCATTTCCTAGCTGCACCCCTGCTCAATCCTAAAGGCGTTCCACCTATATACCAGTACCGTCTCTTCTCTGCCCTGGCAAGATGCATTCAACAAGAGAAGCATCATCCCCAGTTCAGTGGTTCTAGGATTAGAGGACCTAAGGGTGAAAGACTCTTCCCTGAATCTTCAGCGTCATTCCCTGCATTATTACACTATTCGCATGCATTGCTACAGCGTGGCTGAAGAAGGAAATTTACACTTTCCTTTTGGAGGAAAAAGGAAAACCCACTATCACAGAGTGAGCAGGAGTGAAAGAGCAGTATCTTAATAGGCCCACAGTTATTTATTTCTAACAGCTACATATGAATTCCTGGTGTGAAGTATTTTAAATGTTTCACATTTCTACTTTCTTAAAAGCACACAACTAAGCTCAGACACGGGGACAGAAGCAGAGAAATGCTGGGCTTTTTACACTAGAGAAGAATGGAATGAATTTATCTATACATGCAGAAATATCTAGGGCTTTAAACACTTCCCAGTGTGGGAAACCTAACCATGATAGCATTTTTAGTACTGGCTGCAAAGCCAAAGCTAGTCAAGTCCATCTGTGTCCAGCATAAGAAAGGCATAAAGACATGAAATTATTTCCTACATAAATACCCAACTAGTAAGCTATTTGAACACTGAAATGATGTGTAACTAAACCACCTTCAGTTAAGTCACCTACACGTCAGGATTTTATTCAACGTTTTTGGACAGTGAATTTGAATCAATGTTTTAGAGCATCTCAATCTACATATTACATACTTTATTTAATCATAGCTGCAGTTTTCCTGTTTATATCACTTTATTCATGAACTATTTTAAATGAGTTTGCCACATTTTCAAAAGAAAAAAATCATAATTGGCAGACCTTGCAAGCACAGTACTTGTTATTTTGCAAGTAACTAAGCAAGAAACATAACATTTGCATTTTAAATAAACAAATATATATATATGTATAGCACTAGTGAATTGTTTTCTCTTGCTAAGTATACTTGATAAACTGACGGTTCTGTTTAAGCAATAAATGAATTATTATCCCTCACCATAGTACCTCAAGTTTCTTTGCAATTTTGGCCCAGTCCTCTGGAGTCATGTTGGAAGAATCAAGCAGTGGTGAGAGCTCCAGGATTGTGTAAAAAATTCTTTTATTTTGCTTAGAGACACTACGAAGAAAGAGAATTAGAAAAAGAAAAAAAAAAAGTAATTATTAGAGCTCATATCAGCTCATCGCTTCTCATTTTTCTTTGAATCAGTAGTTTTCACCCTTTTCTTCCCCATCCCCCAAGTGTATGGCAAAAAAAATGGTCTTAAATTTGTAACATTAAGTTCCAAGCTTATAAGTTCATGGCTTGATGTGGTTTAAAGCATAAATCCTTAAATTTAATTTAATAATAAATATAATTTGGGAGGTGGAGAGGGGCTGGCAAAACTAAAGACAGAAAAGAAGAACCCAGACTTCCTTTAAGTTTGGAACTGAGTTCTAACAAAAGTTGATAAAAAGCCCTAAGGTTTAAAAATGCTTCATAAGCTACTGAGAGGAATCTTTAAAGCTCCCAAGGTTTACAGGGGGTCCACAGGAGAGTTGCAACAACTTTCTGATCCTTTGATAAATATAAATAGATAACATTTCCTGACATAAAGGGTATCTTTTCTTAAGAGTCTTATGACTGGAATTAATGTTTGTGGCCTTTAGAAGATCCACTCTTCTCAGCTTCTCTGACCTCAGATTTCAGAAAAAGCTCTCTTAGTTGGTTAAGATCTTCAAGTAAACTGTTGCCTTTGCTAGTAATAGGCTAACTCTGTAAAACCCCAGTCCCAGCCTATTAGGCCTGTTGTCACCTTGTTATTAAAGTTTGCTATATGGTACTAGCTGTCTCTTGTTATGATGTGGAGTTTAAGCATGTGATAATAGAAAAGATATTAAAATACTGGCATAGGTGTGGAATACAGGCCTCAGGCCACTATAAACAACTCACTGGCCATCAGTTATTGGCCACAAGTGCAACCTTGACAGCTGGGAAAATATTGCTCTAAGTAGAATAAAAACAAGACAAAGGAACTATGCAAGGGAAAACAAAACAAAACCAAACCGAAACAAAAAAAACCCAACCAAAACAAAACCGAATAGTCAAGCAACAGGATAAAGTATCTGTAGGGCTGAGGAATCTAACACTTTCAAACCTCACGCAGTGTGTTGCCCAGCAGATGGAGAACAAAGATTAAAGAGTGTCTAGACACTCAACTTACAAAAGTACATGATCCCGTTTGGAGGAGACTTATCAAAGGTGATGATGGCTATCGAATCACAGTGGGATTGTCCCAGCTTTAAGCACATTGTCTGTTCTTCCTGCCTATAGGGACCATAGGTCTCCCTTTCTCCACCTGGCTATCTCAAGAAATCTGACTCTCCAAAGACCTTTGATTTGCCAGCCAAATGGACTGCATACAGAGCATGTGTTTTACCCCACAAACATGTTCAAGTCTCCACATTTACTTTATAACCTCTCAGAATAAAGTCAAGTACATTAAAATTCAACTTGGCAGTTAAGATTTGGCGTAATAAAAACCCCTTACTATTACTATTTTCTGCTACCTTTCTGAAACTTGCAAGAGGATAGAGTCAACCATTTTCACCCATTCCTATGTTACTTGCAATGTGTTATTTAGCAATGCAGCGGCCAATGAACAGCTAACAAAGAACTGCTAGCAGGCCAGCTCTGCCCTTCCTACTTGCTCTTCCAGGCAGAGCCATCTGGAGCATGTTTAACAGGATCACCTGCCTTGTTGGACATCACATTCACACATACTAAGAGTAACTTTGGAAGTCAGTTGAAAATCTGTGAAAAGAAAGCTCCCCTGAGGATGTGCCATTTAAATAAAACACAACATACTGACACCAGAGACCAATGCAGTCTACGACTCTTGACGCCTCTCTATAAAAAGACATCATATTGTTCCTCTTAGATCAAGGTCATCACACAGATATACAAAGTTCACAAAATACTCCTATTTTCTCTCCTCAGAAACTCACAATGTTTCTCAACTGCCTAGTTAAAATATCACTCGGCTAGCACAAAAGAGAAAACGGCAAATCGCCATGACCAGCCTCCAGAAACTGCACTCAGCAGTGTCAAAAAAACAAGACAAGATTGGTTTTCAAACCTCAGGTTTTGATGGGAATGATTGTTCTAAGCTTTTAAGTTCTTTATGGAAAAGAGGCACTAGAACTATATTTAGGATTCAAATGGGTGTTTTATTGTAGTTTTGTTATATTTCAAATCCCTTATTTAAAAGTTACTCAGTTATAAACACTGTACTTTAAAAGCTCCATTTTTCTTAGAATTACCATCATATTTAACACAAACTGCATGTTCATATCAATACTATTCCACCAGCAGTCCATTTCTTTCCCCTTTACCCTTTTTCTTGCCATCTGCCTTTTAAGTGGGTAGTTCTAAAAGCTTTATGCAGAGACCTCAATACAAAATAGAAAGAAATTAATAAACCTTACAATTTCTTTGTATGTCCTGATTTTCTCCTTAAAGATTAAAGAATATCCATTTTTACTCTTATAGCAAAACAGCTATAGATCCATTTATATTGGAATGACTGTGTAAAATCATCCTTTGTGCAAAGTCAACATGTTTACAGGGGTACAGTCATTCAGCACAGCCAGGGAATATCTCAAATTAGCATACTGTACTGCCTTCTAAATAAAACTTACAAGCTTATTAATCATTGCCCAACAGTTAAGAAGCAATGCAGATTAATTGTAAGCCTATCACTTATTATCATAATGTTGCATAAATTTGTAAAAGACAATCAGCTTTTAGGCTTTTTAAAAACAGGAGGCCTGCAGTATTAAAGCATGAGGCCTATTCACAGATGCACTAATTAGATGCTACTTTTTCAGATGTATGCTGAAGGTAATTCACACAGAGCTCTCTATACTGTTTTCTTAGTTTCTATAGAATGTTTGTATGTTTGCACAGTAGCAAATTAATACCCAATACAAGAAAAAAAAATACAGTACTAAGCTACCAAAATGGTTACTTGTTGCCTAATAAAGAAGTGATTTCTCAAACAGTTATAAGACACTTCACTGCAAATATATCGAAACACATACGATAGGCTTTTTCCTTTTAAGTAAATATAAGTATTTTTGCTAACCTCATAATGGATTCTTCACATTTAATGTTTGGTGACGTAATTATTTGACAATTAATAAAATACTTCCTACCACTCCCACTCCCCAGTGAACACGTACTTACGGGAGCACCAGTGTGTTCTCTGGAAATTCATGGAAGCTGTTCAGTTTTGTTTCCTGAGCATATGCCTCATCATGCAGCATTGGCATTGTTTTCAAGCTGCTTACTAATTTATTTGCCTCAGGAGCAAGTCCTTGAAAACAAAGAATAAAAGAAGTAAATAATGGTGCAGGGATGGAAGGAAGGAAGTGGCACAGTAAGAAGGGAAGAAGTCAGGTTACACAGCTGTTTGCCCATCGTTTCAAATTAAATAGTCTGTCGCCAGTTTAAGAACATGAAAACCAAATATAACCAAGAAATCTCTGTGCAGTTACTCTTTTCTTGACTTGAATAAATCCATCCTTTATTTAAGAGAAATAATGTTACCAATCTCCTCCATTTAAAATACTTATGTTCTGCTTGGTTTTAATTGTTGCTTTTGTGCAAATACCAATCATCAGTATGGGCAGGAAGCCAATTTTTGCAACTGTAGCAAAAAGCTACCATTCTCTTTTATATGTGCCACAACTATTCTCTACCCATAGCAGCAGAAGTGGCAGAAGACTTACAAAACACTGAGCATTACTTTGTACTATCAAGTTGTGATACTTAAACTTCTTAGCCTACTGCAGTATTGGCACAAACAGCAAAGTAGTAGTATGACTACATTGAAAGGTTGCATGTTATGTCTATCAATGGCAATAGCATCTCCAGAGAGAAAAAATTTGAGAAATCTAAATCAAGCCCCACAGTAGGTGTTGAGCATTGATAGATACAAAGATCTGTATGTAGAAATAGAGAAACATCAGCTTCCCAGAGTTTTAACTAAGTGCTCTAATCACTCTCTCTTGAATAAGTTCTTTCCACTAGTGGGTTTATAACTGAACATCTCAATTGACAAGAGGTAGAGAATGTGCATAAGCTGCTGAATAGAAAAAGTAAAATATGTGGTTGCATCTTAAACTCTGTTCACCCTCTCCCTGCTCATGACAGTGTCTTCCTCTGTGTCAGGGGCCCTAATTTTTAGGCCTAATTTTGTAAGTCTTCTGCCCCTTAAACTAGCCTAACAACATTTAGCGTTTGACGGATCTGCAAGTGTCCTGGGTACAATCAGGTATTTCAAAAGGAATCTGCATGCCATTCTCTTTGCCAAAAAGGCACCTACATTTTTCATGTTACAATCCTCATCATCATAGAAGTGAGTTCACTTGTGAACCTAACTTGCATCCCATCTCCCAGTACCCTGTTTCAGGAATGGCAGCAACAGTCCTGGCGTCCAGAGTCGGAAGCTGCTCTGGTTTTCTTAAATTCGACTTTTTGGGATGTTTTTCATTCAAGGAACTTCCATCAGAGGCACTTCCTTCTTGACTTCAAGATTCTACTGGCATTACTGTCCAGTTCAGTTTAATTGCAGTGAATGTGTTTTATACCACCTGTTCACATGGCAAACAAACTCTCAAACCACATCATTCTACTCCTGCTAGTTTTAGTTGTTCCCAGTTTGAAGCCAGGTAATCCTCTCCTTCTTCATCACTCTTCTGTTTGTTTTGAACATGATTCTCATCCAAGCTAGCATCTTTCTTAATATTTTTTGCTTCACCTTCAAACAGTAAATACTCCAGTATTTTCAGTAGTATTTCTATCTTTTTCCATTTACCCATTTACTTTCCAAACTGTCAGAAAAATCCTTAAGAACTCCCTAATCTCCTTCCTGGCTTGCCTTAAATGAAGTACCAGGCCTCTTTGTAGCCAACTTTCTCACAGGATGGCAACAGCATTTGAGTGGATTTGCTTGGATTCCTGCCGGAATACTTTGTTTTACAAAATACACTTAACATGCTTTCAAGCTTTGGTTGTTCCATTCATTCAGCTATAATCCCTGCTTTTCCTACTAAGGATGTTCCTAGCTTAGTCATAAATGGCCACTTCTGCTGTTCTTGGGCACAGAGTCATTTTGGCTCTGAAATTCAGTCCACTTTCAAGTGTTTTCTGGCTATTTTCTGATTATTCTTGTTTGGCCAATGCTCATCTTGCTCTGAATATTGACAATGGATTAGATTGTTTACTTTTTGTACCTGCTCCAGGAACCAGAGAGCTGATGTAGGTTAATATTTTTAAATCCCTTCTGTATAAATAGCAGATCCTCATCTCTTAATCACAAATCTATCAGGATTTTTCTGTAATTGCTTCCACTGAACTTAAACCTTTTTTTCAAGACATTCTGCAGAATGTTGCCTACTTGCAACCTATGCAGTCCCCTAAACACATCCATGCATTTCTGCTTTACAGCTTCAAGAAGCAAACATGAGGGAATTCGAGTGCCACTGTTTTAAGAATACTTTATTATGCATGGAAAACGTTTTTTTGTGAGCCAAGCTGTTAACCAAGTATTTGAAGCAACTTCATCCCTGCAGAGAAGAGGCAGGCTGTGCTACTTGTCCAAACAACTCTCATCAACTTATGTCCTCTCCCACTTTAGCTGGCCAATCCCAGCATCACAAAGCAATGGACAAAGGCAGAACTGCAAACAAGCAACTGTGACTGAAGAGAACAAGGATGGTTCTGTCTTATCTTCAGTCAAGGATTCCGCTTTTCACCCTGGTGCCATAGTTACAGGTACGGTAGTTAGAGTTACTTGCCAACTGAGATAGCCTATAATCCGTGCTGCAGCAGAGAAGAGGGAGATGAATAAAGTCTGATGCAGCTGTGTCAGTGGGGATCTGCAGCAGTGAAACCACAGCCACTGGGGAGAAGGACCATAACATACATCATCCCAAATCCTAACAAACTCTCCACGCTAAGGAATACAAAGAACTTCACTAAACCAGTTTTTAGGATTATTAATACACGTGGCACACACAGCTATAACGCCAGATCCCAAAAGTAACAACTATATTTTGCAAAGGCAGAGAAACAGAAAGTGTTCTCCAAAATACTGATTTCTGTGGCTGCAGTACTTTGAGCTTTCAGAAAGGTGAATAGGTTTCAAACCGAAAAAGGTTTGGAGTACAGCAGTCAGTCCTTTGACAGTTTAGTATGCCTAGAAAAGACACATAATTAACTAAGTTACCCAGGCAGACTCTATTCCCAGATAAGTAATCTTTCTATTGGATTTAGCTTAGTTATACCTGTATTTGTTGGGTGTTCTTTCTCTTAATATTTCAGGTTAAATCTTCCTAAAGGCACCAGCCAGGAGAATGTAAACGCAAACAAGATTAGTATCACAGTAACCTCACTAAGGAGTGCAGTAAGATTGTCTTTCTGAAATGAGCTACCAATAAGCCAATAGAGGCTGCTATAGGAGGAAATCAGTCACAGGAAGTGGAAGGAAGAAATTCAAAAAATGCACTGAAATGGCTTATTTGACAGCAAAACCATGAATACTTAGAAAGTCTGCAACTGAGTCTCATTGTCACGCAACTCGCAAACAGAAACAGGCTATCCATCCTTTGAAAATTACTCCACAGTAACCTGTAGGTGTGCACAAAGTCCAACATGTCCAAGACATGCTGGAATGGCCACATGTGCACAGGTCAACCGCAGAACCTCTGTGGGAGGTTTACAACCAGGTATCATGATGACTATCACTCCATACACGCACAGTGAGCCGAGGGAATGTGATTGTATCCATCTTGCACATGGGGGCAGTTCTGCACAGGAACATATTCCTTGCAGAACGCATTAGGTCTCTCAAAACTCGTATTTTAAGAAGGAAACCATCTTCTCCCAGAAACTGGAAAGGCCATGAAAAAGCTTTTAAGCCTAGACAGAAATTAGTTAGGTAGAAACCTAGCTTGATCTCTTCACTTTGAGCAGTTGCTGCTATGAATGGTTTCATGCAGCAAAAAGAAGCTACTTCCATTCACCTTGCTTGAAATAAAACACTTGGTATGGTTGTAAACAGGCATTTTCTATCCATTAATTAGTAAAAGAAATGAGCATCTATTGTTCTTTCCTTTGAAACACGCTGCCTTTCCTTTCACCAGCTTCTATCTGCACGCTAAAGACTGCCAAATGTTCTGAAAGAAGTACCCTGGCTGCTGGGCTGCTAGGTCTGTGCATGAAAAGCAGGCTGAAACTGTTACCAGGATGTAGCAATTCATCATCATTGGATCATAACTACTAGATTGTTTGCACATGCTTTAATGATTGACACTTATTAGGCAAAAGAAAATAAAAATAGTTAATTTATAAAAGAATGAGACACGTGATTTTAATTTATTTGTTTTGAAAGTGTTTAGGAAGCTGAGTCAGTAGAAGTAGGAAATTATTTTAGTATAAACAATGCAGACAGAGAGGAAAGTCACCACGTCACCTGAAATACAGCCTTTTTTTTTTTTCATCAATAACTTTGATAAACACAAGGATGACAGCCATTAAAACCAAAGCAGAACCACCCCTTAAAGCATCTTCCCTACAATAATAACAACCAGCCAGCCACTGCCTTCTGAGAATGAAGGATATGTATTGGGGGGGGGGAGGGGAACCCTAAAAAACTAGTCTAGGAAGCTCTGAGGCAAAGCACTTTGTGTATTTCAGGCAGGGGCTTGAAATTCTGTAGCAGGGAACACAAGTACCTGTGCTTCTGAACCTAAACAGACTCAGGCTCTTGAAGCCCTGGGATGCTCTGCTGCCTCTCAAGTGAAGGAAGAAGGAAAGTGAATAGATGTTCATTGAAATTGGACAGCTTCCCTCCCCCCTCTTCCCTTTAGACCAACACTGGCAAACACATAGCCCTGCAGCAAGTGAGACCTGGCCAAAATCCATTCCTTTTTCCAGATATGTTAGCTAGCTAATGCTTCTGGCATCCCTCAGGATGCATCCCTACTGAGTGAGGGCCTCATGGTGCCCAGGTGCCACTCCAACTAGCTTCTGGAATAGGGACCTGAAGGGGTGTTAGGTGAATTTAGGCACCTATCTGCAAACATTTAGTTTTAGGGGCACCTGTAAACACAGCATACACCTGTAAGTATACCCAAGAAGCTTCTGTGTAAAATGCAGGCAGCATACTGAGACTTCAACATTTTTCAGCTGGTGGGAGGAGGTTTGGCATGTCCAGCCTTTTACCAACGCAAGTCTCACCCTCCCTTAGTAAAGCAGAACTCCTCAATTGATTTCTTGAAGGAAGGCAAGAGCTGTTAGGAGAGCAGCAGC